GACCAGACCCCCGCAGCCGCCTCCTCAACCTCCTCAGCAAAGTGATTTCTCGGAAAATCAAGGACTTAGCAGAAGGTGGGCGGGGTCGTGGTGCATCCATTGGACCTATTGATCCCGCCTACACACGCCATTGGCTGCCCTGGCTGCTTGAGGGCGGGGCTATAGGGCCCGTCCTCCCCTTACAACCCGCTGTGGCGCGGGCGTCTGGAGTCCGCGATCGCTTCGCGGGGTATTTGGGCTGCAGGCGTGGGAAAGCCGACATCGTGCTCGGAACTCGGGCGGCGTGCACCGAACTCAGGCGGCGCGCTCCGACGGCAGGTAAGCGTCCGGTCCATCCGCGGGCAGAGGACCTGCGTTCTGCGTGGTCCAGTTCGCGTGGGTCGCCAGGCGTCGGTCGGGGACGCTCGGATGAAAGTACCATAAAAACTCCTTTGACGCAGCTCCATTGCTGTCCTCCCAGGCTCTCCGTTTTCTTCCAGTTCTCGGCATCGCCAAATCGCTTGTTACTGGATAATTCTTTCCAAAGATTGATTGATGTTTTTTTTTTTTAAAAAAAAGATAATTTCTGAAAATCGGGTGTGCGTGGAGAACTTGTGAACTTGGCTCTTATAACGCTGAGAAATAGCGACCCTCTTTATTATAAGGAGGCGTCCTAGAGACGTAGTGGGTTGAGCTCTGAGCTGCCAGCTGCAAGGTTGTGGTTCAAACCCACTGGCCACTCCGCGGAAGAAAGACGTGGCAGTCTCTGTAAAGCTTTACCGTCTCAGAAACTATGGGGCACTTCTACTCTGCCCTATGGGGTCACTATAAGTTGGAATTGCCTGCACCACAATAAGGTTGGGTTTGGTTTTTTGGGATCACTCAGGGAGAAAGGCTTGGATGTTCTTTGGTCTAGCACTGATGGGGGTGGCTGGGGGCCAGGACCCTAGGAGATGAGCCAGCAGGTGGGCCCTATTGCACTGTTACCAGCACATTGTTGGGGGCCAGGGACGCTTCTTATCGTTTCCTGCCTGGGAAGCCTGCCACGTTTATAGAGATGCAGATAACTCCGGATAGGACCAGGCCTACAGAGAAAGTTATTGCCCCAACATCAAGGAAGAGGAAGGCATAAACCTGTGACTGTATGGATTCATTTTTCCTGGTTGGGCATTTGGTGGAATACCTTTGTTGGTGTTCATTTACTTGTTGTGGCTGGGAATTGTGATAGAATCTTAGGTTGTTCATGCTGTTTAGAACCGTGGAGCCTTTTCCAAAGATAATCCAAATGGGGCCAGCCCCCCATGCAGCAAACTCAGCCTATTCTCTGAGAACTGAGTAAACTAGGACCTGGTTGGGGGGCTGAGGCCTGGGTCCTCTTGAGTATTTGCTATACCTCTCTGGTCCCTTTGAATAGAGGGGGCTGGACTGGATGATTTTTACAGCCTTTGCCAGCATTCCTGTCTTCTGCTTCCCTTTTCTTTTCAATGCCTTGTTTCTTTCTTTACTTTTCTGGTCTCAGAATCTCGTAATAAGAGGAGAAACAAAATGTTGAGTGGAAACATCTTTTGATTGACTCATGAGCACATGTAAACCCCTCTGTTGTGTTCTGAGAAGGGGTACTGGTGGTGCAGTGGATAAAGTGGGGTGGGCTGCTCACTGAAAGGCTGCCAGTTCAACCCAACCAGCCGCTCCTCCTGAGAAAGCTGAGGCTGTCTGATCCTGTACAGATTTAAAGTCTCAGAAACCCATGAGTTGGAATGGACTCTATCCTGGTGGGTTTTCTGGTTTGGAGATGCATTTCCCTCATCTACATGTGGATCCCACTTGACGTCCCTCAGTCTGGTTAGAGAAACAGCCATCTAGGTCTGCCTCACACACACTGCACCCTCTGCCTTCTGTTAACAGACTTTTCATTGTGATTTGGGTAAAGGTTTACAGAGCAAATCAATTTTCATTTGTCCACATTTTGTTTCATGTCATTGATTGCCATCCCTACAATGAAACATCACTCCTCCCCCTGTGTGTTGGTGGTGGTGTGCCATGGAGTCAATTCTGACTCACAGCCCCTCTATATAGGGTTTCGGAGGCTATGAATCTTTACTGGAGAGCACAGAATCTCGTCTTTCTCCCCCGGAGTACCTGGCCGACTCTTAGCAGCCCAATGTATAACCCACTGTGGTACCCTTAAATCCACAAACGGACAGCTGAGTTTACTGGAGGAAAAAGCTAAAACCAGGGAGGGCACTGGCAGGACCTCACCTGCTTCACCCTGGGACCTAGGCCCCCACCCCCCACCCCCACAGCCACCTGCAAGAACCAGAGAGTCCAGAATGACCTCTTTTTACAGAGGTTACTGGCGGTTGTTTCCCTTGGTGGACTCTCGTGACTCTGGATGTAACCCTATGTTTGGGGACCGTATTAGGTTTGTCACTGCTGATTGCTTCAGACTTGTTTGTACAAAGAGGTCCCATTTTAATTGGAAGCAGAGCAATGCTATGTTGTTGTGAAGTACCATTGAGGCCCTTCCGATTCATAGCTACCCTATAGAGGGTTTCCAAGGTACAAATGGTGAGTTTGAACTGCCAACTTTACAGTTAGCAGTCCCGTGCTTATCCTACAGTGACATACCCGGACTCCAATGCTGTATATCCTGATGTGGTGCTATGGGATTCGCACTGCGCTGCAAACTGCAAGTTCTGCGGTTCAAACCCACCAGCTGCTTCTCGGAAACCCTATACAGAGTCATTATAAGTTGTAACTGACTCTAACGCACTTGACAGTAACATATATGTACATGTATATAGGAGTCCTGGTGTGGCGCTTTAGGATAATGCACTAGACCACAAGGTCATTTTGAACTAAAAGGTCAGAAACCCTATATTGAGTCGCTATGAGTTGGAACTGATTTGATGGCACTTAACAACAATTACATATATATTTATATTTCATATATGTATTTCCACACAGTCCCCCTTGGGGTGGGCATCTGTCCAAATGTCTAGGGGATTTCCAGCCCAGTTCTTGTAAGTGATGGCTGCAAGTACATGTGGCACAGTTGTTTTCTCTGTGTGCTGTTGGGAAGGCTATCTGCTCTGGCAAGAATGTTCTTCCAAGAGTGCAGTTGGGCACTCCCTAGACCATGGTCCCTTCTGGAGGAGTTGGACCCGTTCACCGGCTTTCGTCTGTAGTCACACTGGACTTCCTCATTCTTCTCATAAGGGGTCCCTAGGAAGAAAGTTTGTTATAATAAGATGCAGTTCCAACTCAAGGCGACCGTATGCACAACAGAACAAAATACTGCCCAGTTGCAAGAAGTGTCTGGCTTACAAGCTTTCAAGAGGGAACCTAGATTCAGAGGGTGTGAAGGAAGGTAGAATCTCCACTGAGTAGTATCCAATCTGTCTAGGCAGGGCTGATGAAATGAAATACGGATGGGTGTCTTGTGATGCAATAGTGAATAATTGTTATCAGGACTGATTGTGAGGGTTAGAAATGTAAAGGTAGATGTTTTGTAGCAAGGAGGGGAGTGATTAACTCTTCAGTCTAGGAGCGGAGGTCCCTGGGACCATCAAGGGAGAAGAGCAGAGAGCAGGACCCTACCCAGAGAAGCAGTGATGCCTGAGATGGAGGCAGAGACGATGACGTGGAGTGATAGAGCAGCTGGGGACTTGAGATCCAGAGAGGGAGAGGGGCTGTGTGCTGACGATCGGGGGGCAGGCTTGTAGTGTATACCTTTTGGTTGGTTGATGAAGCATGGAGGGAATTGTAACCATGGCAATGAGACGATATGTGATAGGATGAATGTAAAGCTAATGTTCTCCCATGTAAGTAAACTATCACATAATTCACAATAAAGCATAAAAAAAAAAAAAAATTATATATATATATATATATATATATATATATACTGCCTGATAGTGCGCCATCCTCTCAATCATCGCTAAGTTTGCGCCATGGTTGCCGCCACTGTTTGAGTCTATCTCCTGGAGGGTTGTTTTCTTTTCCTCTGACCCTCTACTTTTCCAAGCATGGTGCCCTTCTCCAGGAAGAAAGGACTTAACAATTGGGTGATAACAAGAGCTGTTGTTTAGGGAGACTCTCCTAGTGTCCAAGCACTGTTTCAGATGCTTTCTACACGCATTAGCTCGGCTCCTTACGGTCCAGCCAGGGTCATGGAGGTGTGGACGAGTTAAAGGACAATTCACCATTAGTCAGTGCTTCCTCATCCCATCTCCACCCCCTGCTCTTATCACTGACCCAGCTAGGAAGGAACTCCCTTGGAAGGTAGCGGCCGCCTGAGGGCTTCCTCTGTCCTGGAAAGCTCACCCGTCCTGTTGACCCAGTGAAGGAGCATCAGAGAGGGCCAGCATCAGGTTGGCTAGAGTGATACTCATTGAAGGTCCCTGAAAATGTTTTCTGCTGGTAGCGTAGTTGGACTGCTAACCTCAAGGTCAACAGTTCGAAACTACCAGCTGTCCCACAGGAGAAAGATGAGGCTTTCAGCTCCCATAAAGAGTTACAACCTCAGAAACCCTGTGCAGGGTCGCTATGGGTCAGAACCGACTCCACAGCACACAACCACCAACCAAGAATGGAATGATGTGCTTAAATGTCGCTGTTTTTTTTCAGATTCGAACTCTCAGGGGGAGCTGGGGAAAGTACAACCAGAAACTGAGGTGGGGCTGAACATCTGACTTGGCATGGAACAGACTTCCCAGGGAACATTCAGTTTTCATTCCTGGCTGTGAGCCAGAGAAGCAAGCATTGTCTTCTCTTTGCAGGTGTCCCCAGAGTTCCTGGAGGTGGGGCTCCATTTCCCCCGCTCCCCAGTGGGAGAGGCCAGCTTTCACAGCAGGTGTCCCCAGAGTTCCTGGAGCTGGGCTTCCCCCCCGAAATCCACCTCTGCCTCTCTTGCCTACTTCTGATTGTCCTGCCGCAGCTCTTGGTTGAAGAGTTGTGGGTCGCTGTGCTGAATGAGAATCTATTCCTAATACCACCGAATGTGCTTTCTTCTCCCAAGGATGTGTGACCGTAATGGCGGGCGACGGCTGCGGCAGTGGCTCATTGAACAAATCGATAGCAACATGTATCCAGGCCTGATCTGGGAAAATGATGAGAAAAGCATGTTCCGGATTCCCTGGAAGCACGCGGGCAAACAAGATTATAATCAGGAAGTGGATGCCTCCATTTTCAAGGTACAAACCTGAACTCCCTCCCCATCGTGGCTGAATGTGCTCTCTGGCTTCTCTCACGAGCAGGTGGAGGTGTGGGGCACTATCTTTCTTGTTTATTGAGAAAAGAATCCAATCTTTAGAAAACAAACATCAGTTGAGTCTCTAACAATATACCAGGTGATTTTATATCTGTGAGGTCAGTTGTATTGCTGGCATTGTGACGATCAGTAAACTGAAGGCGTCTTCCCCACCTCCTAGCAAGTGGAAGGAGAGTTTTACCTCTGGGGCCACCATCAGATATGACACAGTGAGCTAGAGAAATCTGAGGTCTTCACTCTTTCGGAAATTGCTGGGGCCACTCAGTCACACAAGATGCCTCTCATCCATCGGAGACCAGGTCCTGTGTCTGCAGATAGTCTCATGTAAGGGGCCCAGGCAGGAGAGACTTGCCATCTGGTGCTCCCCTTTGCAGCAAGACAGTGCATTCCTGCCTGACCTGGCCCCATGTGCACCATTTGTGTGGTCAGTGTTGCTGTTGCCTTCATTTGACAGAGGCCTGAGAAGAGAGCTGATCTGTCCAGGGTCTCACGGCTCACGTGTGATGGGGCCGTGTCTGATCCCAGGCTGCCCAGCTGTCAGCTTCACTCATGACCCTGAGACATGGTCTCTCCTCATTGCGTCCAGATTTAGGCAGCGGAACCAGGCACTGGGGCAGCCTGGTGCTGTGGCCTGCTCATCACTGATACCAGTGGTCATCAGGGTCACCTATGGACTTTGGTAAGGCTCCAGAGTCAAGTCCAAGATTCCATGGTGTCTGACGCATCACAGACTGTTTGACCCAAGCTGCAAACCACTGCTGTCTGTGCTTGTTCTGTGGGTGTTTGGAGGTCAAGACCAGGGAAGGGAAAGCCAGCGCTGGGGACGGCCGGGTCAGACCACAGGTGGTGACAGATGGGGTCAAGCGGTGGAGACAGAGGATCTGGTGACATCACTGGACTCAACCAGGGCTGACCATCTGCTGGCCCAAAATGACGGAAATGATGAAAACGACACTTTTGTCCCTGAGGGGCCCAGTGAATAGGCTAAGCCTGCTTAAGGAGAAGCACACGGTAGCGATTCTGCTAAATCTGTAACCTCGGTGGGGGCAGTCGGGGAGGAGCTTGCAAGTCTCTTTAAGAAGCCCATGCCAGTTGCTGGCCCACTCTGAAAAAAATGGGCACGCACGAAACTGCACACAACCTACGGGGCCCTCTCATGGCAGGGCCTCCAGATTCCTTCCTGTCCAGGACCCCACGTCAAGGATCCTGGAGCCCCAGACTGGCTTCTCCCAGCCCCCACTTCCTCCTCCTCGGTGGTGAAGCGCAGTCCACTCACTCTACGTTTGACTGTGGGCATCTGTGGTCTTTTTTGTCGAGTTGACTGCTTCTTAGGAGTCATCCCTCCCTGGTGTAATTGCTCACCTACAGGCCTGTCACCAGTTGGCTGAAAGTCGAACACAGGGTCAGGTCAGGTCAGTTCTGCCTTGATGAAAGGTCATAGGTCCCAAAGTCCCACTCATCCGTCTGACAAGTAAGTTTGGTCTTTTCATGATTTTGAGCTTTTTTCCACATTTTTCTCCCTCTCTCTACAGAGCCTTGTGTTGTGATTTCTTGTAGGGTGGTTGGCAGTGGTAGTGGGGCACTCTTCAGTTCTTCGTAGTCTGAGGGCTGTGGAGGCTGAGTTTGTGGGTCCATCAGTCTTTTGGCCTCATAGTTTCCTTGTGTCTTTTGAGTTTCTTTACTCTGCTTTGCCCCAGGTAGAGGAGACACCAATAAGTGGTCTTAGACAGTCAATTCACAAACTTTTAAGACCCCAGTTGTGACTCATTGAACTTGTAAAACATTGTTTTTGTAGGTTGTGTTGTGCCAATTGGTCCTGATGTCCCCCAAGTGTGGGCATGCTTTTGCCTTTGGCATCAGGGTGAACTTCTCTCGGGAGTGACTCAGTGCTACAATTTCCATCTGGTTGTAGATGCTAGCTGGCTGGACACGAGGGTTCCTTAGCTCCCATGCTGGTATTTGGGTCTGGCTTATTGTTTGTGAGGAGCGCTGGCCTGTGAATGGTCAGGTGTTGAGCGGTGTTGTAGACCTGTACCTACAGGGCCAGTAACACTCCGCCAGCTGTGACAATCAGAATTACCCTTAGGTGCTGTCTTCCATCGGGAACCTATGCTCTGAGTCCACCACGCCAGGATGAACAGATTTACCCAGTGGCATTGGGTAGAGAGGGCACAGTGTGGGGGTGAGCACCACTGAAGCATCTTTGAGACAATAGTAGTGGGTTCTGGAACAGTGGGCTGCACACCCTACGTGTGTGGCTTGCTACCATAGCTGCAAGGGTTCCCCTCCACCCTCCTCCCTGCTTCAATGTATGCTCTGCCAGAACTGAAATGAAGCCCCAGATTTATACATCTTATGCAATGGTTTTCATGGCAGTTTCAACAGCATTGAGACAAATGTGCAAGATTCCCAGTGTTTCCGTTGATTACGCAGTCCCTCAATGTAGCAATCTGAAATGAGTCTACAATCTCAGCAGGATTGGGGCGGGAGGGATGGTGAGTGCCCAGGGGGAGCTGGGGACCATGGGGGGCTGGTGAAAATGCAGCGCTGGCAGGAGCCCACCTGCTGGCAGTCTGAGTTGCGTCCCCTGGAGCTGTGTGCCAAAGCCCAGCTTCCGAGAGGCCCGTGCGCACCGGCCAGACTGCTGGGTAGTGTCTGTGTCAGAGGTACCGCTGGTGGTGATGTTGGAGCTGGAAGATGCCAACAGCCTGACTGTGGTTACAGTCATCTTAGGGAGATGTTCTGGTGAAGCAGAGAGCCATTTTTGTTTCAATCATTCAAAGACAACTATTTTAGAACTTGGAGTTAGGAAAAAATGAGTGAGCCTGCTTCCTTGCCTTAGCAAGTAGATCCCAAGAATCCAGCCACACCCAGGGCTCCTCGAGCATCTCCAGACACCGTAGTATCAGACTCATGGTGCAGATCCAGTCCTGGGACAGTAAAGTCATCACTTAGCGCCTTTTTGCACCAGTCTCGAGTCAACTGATGAGCCTGGGAGAGGAGAGAGAGAAAGAAACAAACCCGAGTGAGCGTGGGCTACGCTCCACTGGCCTCTCCATGACCAACCTTAGCCACAGGGACTCCGTGAATGAAAATGTACTTACTAGCACAGAAGTGTGGCTGGCCTTCAAGGAAAAAAACAAATGGCATTTAATTTTCCAACCAGAAGATGTATCTTGTTGTTTAAGTACCATCAAATCGGTTCCAACTCATAGCCGGGTACCCTGTACAGGGTTTCTGAGGCTTTAAATCTTGGTGGGGACAGAAAGCCTCATCTTTCTCTCCTGGAGCAGCTGGTGGGCTCAAACGTTGTGGTTCCAAGTCCGGTGCTTCTCGTATGGAGCCACTGTGCTCCCTAATGGAAGATGAGATGGCACTAATGTAGAGTTGGGATGACTTATGGCCGGGAAGTGAGGCAGGGCACTGATCCTCCGGCTCGGGAGTCATGATTAGCCCTGCACCTGGCACTGACTCTGAAGCTTATCTGATTTTGGCTCTAGAAAGAGATGGCAAGACTGAGCATCTTTGGAGCGGGACCAGCCGGAGCCGGACATTACTCCCTGATGTACGGCATTTACCTAGCCTTCTTCCACCTGAGCAGGGGCAGTAAATGCATGAATGGGTCTGGCAGTACCTGGAAATGTGTAATAGGAGGGCTGGTGTGGTGTTGAATAAAGCACTGGACCTCAACGTTAGCGGTTCAAACTCAGCAGCCACTCCTAGGAAATCCTGTGGAGGGTCACTGTGAGTCATAACTGCATTGATGGCACTTAACAGCACCAATTAGAACTCTGCCAAAGGAGCCCTGGTAGCGTAGTGGGTCATCAACAGGCTCCTAACCGCAAGGTCAACAGTTTGAATCTACCACTTGCTCCTTGGGGGAAAGGCTGTCTGCTCTTGTGAAGATTTACAGCTTTGGAAACCCTACACAGGATCTGAGTTGGAACTGACTAGATGGCACATCACCACCACCAAAGACCCTGCCAAGGAGCCCTGGTGGTGCAGTGGTTAAGTGCTTGGCTGGTCACTGAAGGTGAGTGGTTCGAACCCAGTGGCCGCTCTCCTTGGGAGAACAATGAGGCAGTCTGCTTATGAAAAGATGCCAGCCTTGGGGAGCTGTGGGGCAGTACCACCCTGCCTCACAGGATTGCTGGGGTCCAGACTTGTTTCAATGGCTGTGCGTGTTTGTTTTCAGAATGTCAGTGCCGCAGAAGCCACGCTTTTTGAGGCCTGTTTGTGATTTGGAGCAGACCAGTGGTCCTCCAGTAGGGGCAAGGGAGAGGGCGGGGATTTGCCCCCCCACCTCACTGGGGACTCTGGTGGCACATGGGGCAGGTTCCCTCAGTTCTAGGTTACCATTCCTGGGTTCTGAGTCAGGGAGGCTGTCCTTGTCAGGGAGACAGCTTTAGTTGTCATAACTGGGGGGTGGGGGGGCATTTCTGACTTCTTGCAGATACAGATCTGGGATGCTGCTGAACACCCTACAAAAATAATTGAGAAACGATATATGATAGGATGAATGTAAAACTAATGTTCTCCCATGTAAACTATCATGTAATTCACAATAAAACAACAACAACAACAAACAATTGAGCCCAAATGTCCACAGTGTTGAGCGTAAGAGTCCACAGTGCCGAGGTTAAGAAACCCTGCTTTAATGTAATGAAAATGGAACATTTCTGTTCTATCAGAACTTGGTGTGCTCTTATATTTATTTATCTATTTTTGAGCAAAGCATGTCAATGCATGATCAGCGATGCAGTTAGTAGAGGGCAGACCATTTAATTTAGAAAATTTTTCTGAAGAACTCAGCTTCTGTGTCAAGAAAGGAGCCCTCCCCTCTGCCTGTGCCCAGTGATGGGTGTTCTGCCGCCTTCCTTAACTCGGACACCAGCACACAATTTGAGCTCCGAGTAGGAGCTGACCACCCTTGTCTGGCTGTGTGTCCTCTAGCGCTATTTTAAATGGAGCTTTGACTCCTGGGGCGTGGAGTTTCTGGAAAAGTAGCCTACTGGCTGTTAAAATCACACCTCAGAGCTGGCTCAAGATGCCGCTTCCGGGCCTTACCCACACCTGCAGAATTAGAGGCTTGAGGGCAGGGCTAATGAATGGGCTGTTCCTGAGCTTCCCAGGGGAGTGTTCTAAGATTGCAGCTTGAGAACCTTCGCTGTGGAAGGGAGTCAAGACTGCGCCCTGGTTCAGGCCCAGGCTGGGCCACCTTGGGAATGTTCCAGACCTCTCAGAAGTGCATGTCCTGCGTGGGGTTGAAAATTTCTTCCAGTTCTGGACTTGATTTAGCCACTGTACCTGTGTCTATGTAGGTCTTGAGTGTTGGGGTGAAATTGGAACAGTTCTAAAAGGAGGTGTTTGCTGTGGTTTAAAGTCAAGATGTCCCCAAATGCCATGGTGGTGGCCTGCAGACACAGTGGCTTTTCCTCCAACTCAAGGCTCACAGCGCTGGCAGCAGCTGCCCCCAGATGGAGAGTGTGGATTTTAATGTTGAAATCTTAAAGCCCTCTCTCTCACACACACTTGCCTTCCTCTGCATGTATACTTCATCTCTCCAGCTTTGACTTTTTGGTTTGGAGAGGCCAGGAAAACAGGTATTTAAAAAAAATAAACCTATAGAGGGCAAACCTTTCATGGCATTTTAGACAGTCCCCTGGGGAGAAGAAGGTAGAATAAAGGCTAAAATGCAAAACGAATATCTTTTAAAAATAGCCAGGCCATGGGCGACCACATTTAGACTTTGTGCCTCATGTTCTCTTTGTCATACTCAATTTTAGCTCAGGCTTGATTTGAAAAAAAACAGCGAAGTGGCCTTTGTTTTGAGAAATTCTAGTGAAAACACAGGCAACTTCCTCTTTGCATTGGTTTGCCCAGCCTTCTCCAGACTCTTTAGTCCTGGGGGGACTTTGTTGGGAGGTGTCCAGGGTGTACAAAAAGAACCTGGATTGGGAATGAAATTCTAGCCCAGTCATCAGTTGGGAGTGGAGGGGGAGTCATTTCCTCTGGCTGAGCATTTTCCTGTCAGTTAAGAGACTGTGGTCCGATGAGCTCTCTAAGTCCTCGAACTTCTTGACTCACGTATGAAATGGCCAAGAAATATTTGCAGAAGGGTAATCAGGTGTTGGGTCTGAAGGCTGTGGGGGGCAACGGCCGTGGGGGCGGGGGCGGCTGTGGATGTAATGCGCTTTTCTCGTTCTCTTCAGGCCTGGGCCGTTTTTAAAGGGAAGTTTAAGGAAGGGGACAAAGCTGAACCAGCTACTTGGAAGACGAGGTTGCGCTGCGCGTTGAACAAGAGCCCAGATTTTGAGGAAGTGACAGAGCGATCCCAGCTGGACATCTCCGAGCCATACAAAGTTTACCGGATCGTTCCAGAGGAGGAGCAGAAATGTAACTATCCCCTGGCAACACCACGCCTGCCAGGCCGGGGTCGGGCGAAGCCAGTGGCTTGAGTGAAACACAGTAGCGTTTTCCTTTTGTCTAAACAGATTGGAGAATTCTGTTCTTTGACCTCTTACACTCTCTCCTGTCAGGACAGGAGCTGGAGGAAAGGGTGGGGAGAGGAGACTGGGCTCCAGCCAAGCTCCACTGCTAACCCAGTTTGTGATTAGGAACATGCTGCCAACTCTCCGTGTGCCCATAGACACACTAACTCTCCGTGTGCCCACGGACACACTAACTCTCCGTGTGCCCACGGACACGCTAACTCTCCATGTGACCACAGACACACTAAATCTGTGTGGCCGTGGAGTACTTACTTTCTGTGTGACCATGGACACGCTAATGCTCCGTGTGACCGTGGTCACATAGGAAGACCTTCTGGAGCCCAGTAACGTGCTTGGAAGAAACAAGGATCCTCCAGCCTCTGGCATCAGGAGCCCCTCTTGTGCCCTGGCAACTCCTTAAGGGGTAATACAGTAGATGGCAGAGGACAGACGATAGGAATCATTGAGGGTCAAGTTCTTAATGAAGTTGCAGAAGGTGGCACAGCTGGCTTTATTGGTGGAGACTGGGTAAACCCCCAAAACCAGTTGGCATTAAATGTACCCGAAGTCATGGCAACCCTGTTAGTGTGAAAGTCAAACTGGGTTCCATACGGTTTTCGATGGCTGCTTATTTCCAAGTCCATCATTGAGGTCTTTCCACTGAGACATCTTTGGGTAGATTTTAGAACCTCTAAAGTTTTCATTAGCAGCTGAGAGTGTTAACCATTTGCACCCTCAGGGAGATTGTTGTTGTTGTTAAGTGCCGTCGAGTCGGTTCCGACCCATAGCGACCCTGTACAGGGTTTCCGAGGGTGTAAATCTTTACGGGAGTAGAAAGCTTCATCTTTCTTCCGCGGAGTGGCTGGTAGTTTCGAACTGCTGACCTTAAGGTTCGCAGCCCGATTCGTAACCACTATGCTACCAGAGCTCCTTTGGCTAGCCTCAATACAATGTGAGATCCTTGTCATTATTAGGAAACTCAAGGATGCAATCTGAGGTCTGTTTCAACTCTAAACATCCCAGGACACCACTTGTAAAGGGATCAAAGCCAGGATAGCAAAAACCTGCCATACCTACCTCTGACGCCTATGCCCTGACCAGACATCAGTAATCAATCAGGATTTATCAAACTTGGCTCTAACTTCAGAATCCTTTCCAGAATTGTGTTCTTTGCAGGTGGCCTGAATCAGAGTTGGCCCACGAGATAAAATCTACTTAACCATTCTTGTCATTTAAAGCATTCTTTGATAGCATTGGTTTCCTAAGTCATTTGACAGAGTAATCAGGATATTGACATGGTGTGATTTTCCTTAGAAATTTATTCAAACAAATTGCCGTGAAGGTGACACCAGTGTGTCAGAGTAGGACTAGCTTTGTAGGGCTTTCAGCAGTCTGTTCTTCAGAAGTAGGCCTGCCTTCTCAGGTGTCTGTGGGCAGACTCAAACCTATAGCCTTTCAGTTAGCAGGCAAGCATGTTAACTACCCCAGGGACCCTAGAAGTTAGTGATTAGTCCAGTAATGCCTGCTGTCGTATGCCTTCAAGTCAATCCTGACTCGGAACAACCCTAGAGGACAGAGTAGAGCTGCCCCGTGGGTTCCCTAGGCTGCCTGCTGTCTGGGAGCACGTCTCTGTGTCTTTCCTCCCTCGGAACCTCTGGGGGATTGAAACCACACACCTTTCAGTTAGCAGTGAGCGTTTTAACCACTGTACCACCACCAGAGCCTCTTCTGAATAGAAGTGGAGCCACCGAAAACTTGTATAAAATTGTGCAGACAGGGCTGTGTTTGGGCTCTGGTAGTGTCCAAGGGCAGTTACAGTAAGAACCGTGACTCATGGACCTGGGTCAGTCTGACTCACTGGTGAGGGGAGCAGTGTGGTGACCAAGCACGGTGGGCAGAGACCAGGGGACTCTGGTACATGTGGTCACTGAAAGGCAGGGAGCGGCCAAGTTAGAAACCAAACTAATGAATGGCCTACTAGGCATTGTACCCAGGGTGTGGGAGGTGCCTTTTTCTACTGGACATTTGTAGCTTCCTCGTCTGCAAATTAGCATCCACCTTTACTGCATCTGGACCCTAATCAATGTCCCTATTATGTCCCAGAAACAGTTCTTCCCTTGGTTCTTAGAACCGGCTGACCTTTAGAGGGAGTTTGTATATTTTTTTATTTTTATTTTTTTTATTGCAGTAAGTATGCAAGTATGTAGAAATGCATTTGCATTTCAACTTTCTTCACATTTACAATTCCATGACATTGCTTATTTTGTTTTGCTCTTCAACCCCCACCATGATCCAGTTCCACATTTTCCCCTCCCATAGCAGAAGCTTCATGTTCCTTTGGGATGGTTTTGAAAGTCATCTTTTTGCCTAATCTCTACATTTGGATAATTTTTTGCCATCACAAAATAGTCTGTATTTTGAAGGAGAGGGGCAGCACTCCAAACCCTACCCACAGCCACAGCCACCATAGAGTTCTGTGTCTTGGAGAGGACAAACGCAGTTCTAGCTGCCCTGCCCCCCTGGTCAGCCAAGCTTGAATTGGCAGGGGACTCTGGCTTGTTTATAGGCTGGGGTGCTGCCCCCATCACCTGCAAGGGTGGATGTTAAAGAGCCAGGCAGGTTCTCAGGGCCCAGAGATGGTGTATTTGCATAATGTCTAAATAAACCATTCTTTTCTGTAAGATGGTGGTTTACAAGGGAGGGAGGATCAGTTAGACCTGCTCTCTGCTGGCCTTATCCAGTTATAGAACTTACCAAAATCGCATCCCAGTTTAATCAGGATTAAACATGAGTAAGAAGGGCCCCAGGTGGTGCAAATGGTTAAGTACTTGAGGTTGATGGTTCAAACCCATCCATAGTTGCCTAGGAGGACAGATAAGCAATCTGCTTCTGAAAGGTCATAGCCATGAAAATTGTTGTTGTTGTGTGTTGTTGAGTTCCCACTCAAAGTGTCCTCTCCCCCTATGACTGGTAGGTTTGAACTGCTGGCCTTGCTATTGGCAGTCTAGTGCATATCCTACAGTGCCGGACCAGGGCTCTGAAAACCATACGGAGTAGTTACAATCTGCCCTAGAGTTGAGTCTCTTGGAGCTGGAGCTGACTCCACAGGCATCTCGTAACCACAGTGACCAGCACGGGTCAATTCTGTAGCTCATGGGGACCAGTTAACTCCACGAAGTATTTGCTGGTGGGGATACAACTCACACTGGTGACTCACGAAGGTAGTTTCTGGCAGAGAAGAGGCATGGGAGAGAAAGATGGGAACCTCACCAGGGACACATGTCTAATGTGTGTTCCTGACCCAGGCTGGTGTGTGTCCTCCCCAGGGGTGGGCTGTGTGTGCATTTACATACCAATACACATGTATATTTGGAAAGGCCAAAAAGAGATTTCCTGCCCACTCAATTTTTTTTTTTTTTTTTTGGTAAGTTTTTATTGTGAACTGAGTGATAGTTTACATGGGAGAACATTGGCTTTACACCATCATTTCAATGCAGTGATTACAATCTCCTCCGTGCATCAGAATTCAACAGGATTTGTTTCCATTCCCTATTTTTTTTTTTTTTTTCCCCTTGGGCTGGGGGGATGTACACAGAAACATTCAAGAATATATAATAATTTAAACAACCAAAGCCTGCTCGCTCAATTTGAAAAAAAGACCCCAACCTTTGGAAACATTCTTTGCCAGGAACCCTTGAAATATCTTCAGATGCCCCAGTGTGTGAACTTGACCTTGGTAGGGTGGTCAACACCTGCTCCCAAGAATATTTGGTATAGATTAATGTAGAGGTCAGCATACAGGAGGAGAAGCCCAAAGTGCCTTATCCTTTAAAATTCTTAGGAGAAAAAAACATAACAAAACAAAAAACCAGCAACCAACTTCTCTCTTTTGACTTTGCTGAGCAGATGACTGCTGCGTGGGAAAAGAATTTCTATGTCGTTCCCAAACCGTGCAGGACGCTCTCGGACTTTGGTTTCCCTGAAGTGCAGCATTAAAAACCAGTGCTGGCCACAGCCTTGGGGACAGTTGTCATGCCACAGTGCTGTTGGTCATGGTGTTTCTATGTCTGGTTTTCCTTAGGCAAGCTAGGCATGGCGACCCCTGGCTGCGTGAACGAGGTCACCGAGATGGAATGTGGACGCTCGGAAATCGACGACCTGATTAAGGAGGTGAGGGGGCGGGGAGTATGCTGGTCAGCAGAGGCTGTCCCTGCCTGTCCTGCCTCTCTGATGGGAGCCCCATGCTTGGCTGCCCACTGAAGGGGTTGCAGGCTCCAGTCCACCCAGAGGTACCCCAGAAGAAAGATCTGACAATCTACTTGAGAAAAATCAGCCCCTGGAAACCCTGTGGGCACAGTTCTACTCTGACACACACGGGGGCACCATGTGTGGGAGCTACGTATGAATCACCATCCACTGAGAACCCTGTGGGCACAGTTCTACTCTGACACACACAGGGACACCATGAGTGGAATCTACTTATGAAAAATCATCCACTGAGAA